CTGCTTTTTCATTTAGTCACTTATTCATTTCATTCCTTTAACGAATATTTATTAAACAGTGCCAGCATTGCACTCGCTACTGGAAATATAAGATAAGCTTGCTAAGTAGACAAGTGGGAGAAAAGCAGTTTAAAGAGAGAAAAGGATCTAAACAAAAACTGGTGCAATTAAGAACACACAGTGTATAACTGCATATGATTTAGGAAAAGAAGAACACAGAATGGATGGGGAGGATGCAGGTAAGATGGGAGAAGAGGTTGGGGAGCTTGGGGGGGTTAGGGGGAGCTTGGGGTAGGTAGGGGGACCAGTTTAAGGCAAGACTGGGGGAAGAAAAAAGTAAAGAGGTTGCTGAAATTGCCAACAAAAGATAAAGGCCAGAACAAAGATATTTTAAGATTTGAGAAAAAGACTTAAAATACACGCCATCTGTTACAGATATAAATCAAGATGCACACTCATTTAATATGTGTAGGACAAAATGGGGGAACAGGGAACATCTGTAGATAACTTTCCCATCAGGAGAGAATTCACACACATAAAATCATCACATATCTCTATAAAAACAAATATAAAAAATCAAATCCTCAGATATGAACATCATCCAGGTCACATTTTTCAAAACTATTGGTTTTTTTTTTTTAAACTATCCTAAGTAATACAGTAATAACATCTGACAGCCACTTAAGCTGAAGGTTTCAGAAAGGCTTAAAACACTGGCTTCCTATGTTCTTTATTGCTCCATGAGGGCTATTTCACTCAATTATAATGACATTTCAATTTGGAATACAGAGTTGCTTCTCCCTTTAAATGTTAAATTGACTTGTTTTGGTACAAAAAGCATCTAGTATGCTCTATTACATGCAGGATTAAAAAGGTAGCTCTAGCAATATTAATAGCTTAATACTTTAGTAACAACAGAAACTATTTCAGAATCTATCATTTGTTCTTAAACTATAATTTGCTTAAGAAAAAAAGTACTTCCATACTCTTTATTCATAGCCCTATTAGAAACTCCCTATGAACTGACTTTCTAAAATAAATGTACATTTATCTAGTCTACATAATTTACATAAAGACAAATCATAAACAGAAAAGCCAAAAGGCGATAGCTTCAAGTAAGCCTGCATGGGGTAGGTACCCAACGATTATGAAACAGAAAATCATAATTAACTTCAAGACACTTCAAAATAAAGCAAAGTATTCATATTGAATTTGTAAGTGGCCCCGAGGAGAGACAGGGTTTCAGGTAGAAGACAAGCCCCTCGTGTAAGTGTCTACGGCACTTTCCCATTTGCAACAGAGCCGACTAAGCTATTCTGATATCCTTGAAGTCTACCATCTACAGCAGATTCGGGGACTTTGTTTCTCCTACACTCTCTTTAAACACAATCACTAATTGATATAAAATCCTCTGTAATAATATATAACTGAGAAAAATCAAATGATTCAGGATAAATACCGGATCATTAAAGAGTAAGCGTCCAAATAACTGTTTGGCTTCCTCCAGGCTTCCCTCCAAGTAAACAGCTCCTAGATAAAAGGATGGGAACGCCAAAAGGAAGGCTGCATTAATATTCACAGAATATTACATATCTCTATAAAAACCAAAAGGCAAGTCAAAACCCACACTGAATTTTATATGCTCTCCAAACATTTTAAATATGTAAGAAACTAGATTATAAAAAGAGAAATTACCTATTAATGCTTCAAAACAATTAGCCATTGCATGCCGAAGGTCTGATTCTCTACAAAGGTCAGGTCCATGAGCATAAAGCATAAATCGATCCAGTTCAAGTTTCTACAAAATTCAAAATGACAAGTAAGAAAGAATTTGGCAAAATCATAACTGTAACAATTCAACCTCTCCTGGGGGTAAGGAGTAATGGTTACAAATTAATTGGCCTTGTGTCAGTATATTAAGAGAGTTTAGCTTGCCATTCATTAGGAGTCCTTACATATGGTTCAGATCTGACTAACCGCAACCTTTCCCCAAGTAGGCTTCTATGAACTCTGATGTTTCAATTCTGATGGTTCAGAAATGATCAGACCTGAGTCCAATTCCAAGTTCAGACCAAGCACTAGTCCAAGCTGGAAAAAGACTATGCTATAAGACCATGGGCCTCTGGATTCACCCAACATGTCTAGAGAGACACGAACACAACCCAAAGTTAACCTCTTTGATTCCTGAGTTATGTGGTACTGATATTTGTACTATACAACAGATTTCTATGTGGTAGAATAAATGGGGATCCTCAGATGACTTCTAAATGCCTTATACCTCTAAATCTTTTTTTTTTAATTTGGTAAGGATTTTTGCAGCTCTTTCTCTTTGTACTTGTGTCCCCTTTATGAGGTCTCCATACTTATCTTTCTGAAGGCTCAGTGAGATCTTCTGAGCAATGGGGTTGGATTTATCTTACGGGCTCTGGAATATTGTTTGTAATGAATTATGCTTCCTTTTTTTATTTGGCCTCAGAAAAGTTTAGAACCAAATTTGTGGTCAAAATTGTGTAGGACTTTGGAATATATCTGTGTATAATAACTTTACCTCTGGCTTCCTTTTTCTGCCTTAACCATATTTTCTCTTTACTCTGAGTTCAGTACCTACTTATTTCTTATCCTATTGTATTATAATATACAAATCAAGTCCTTTAAGAACTAGACACAGTATGAATGATTTTTTTTAAATAAAACTGAGACTGAATAAATGGAAATCATAATTCTTTCCATAAAAGGAGAAAAATACAAACATTGCATAAGCATGCAATAAATCTGTTTCCATTACCCTATAATTCAATTCAATAAATTCTTACTAAGCTGTAACATGTTACATAATAAGGACCAAGTCACAAGTCAATGAACAACATAGGATAATATAAGTCTCATCAGTCCTCAGATAAGATACTCAGATTTTGTGTGTCTCAGTATGCATGTTAAAAATATCCATATCCATTTACACTGGAAAAGGTAGAGACAATAAAAACAAGAGATATAATGCTATCAGTGTTCTGTATTGCTAGGAATTCATGAGTACAAAATATATTCAAATGAGTTTTGACTACCACAAATGCAACAGCAGAAAACACCTCTTTTAAAAAATTGATCCCTAAGTGCAAGAACTTATGGTAGAATATGTAAATTTCATCTGTTGCACAACTTCACTGGGAAAATCCAATTGTTTGCTAATCTCTGGAGCCCTGTTTGGGAATAGACTGCAAGCCATATTTTATATTACAAACAACTATTCTGGAATGCTATGAATTTTCCAACTTTTCATAATCCTTGCTCTACATCTTTACTTTTTCATGTAGGCATTAGTGGAACTTTTAAAAAGGAGAGTGGTGTTCAACTGGTGTATGTGTGGAAGTGTTCGTTTGTCTGGAGAGCTGCTGACCTGGAGCTTTCATTAGGTTCTTAGAGATTCTCAGCAATCCTTGGTCAAGTGCCCCCTTCCCAAGTGGTTAAGAGCCACTAGTCCAGACCAAGGGCAAGGCCACCATTACCTTCTACTGGAGCAGACGGGTGTTGAATGCTAAGGGAATGTCAGTACTTGGGGTGGAGGAAGATCATAGAGAAAGCTCAAGGGAGAAACTGGCCAAAATAACTCATCACCTAATGTGTCACAGAGCAGTGTCTGTTTTCCTGTTAGGGCAATTTTCCACGCTTTGTAAATATCCTCCCTACAACTGTTTGAAAAATAATTATACAATTCCATTACATTTTAAACTGGAAAAAAAAAAGTGGGGGGAGTAGGTTGACAACAACTTATTCACATGTATTTCCAATGAACACTTACGTGTCCTATCAGGAAACATCTGACAGTTAAATCAACTGAACACTAAAGCAGTTTTAGGTAGAGTTGTGGAATTTCATTCATGGTAAAGCTGCTAAAACAAAGAAGCATTCCTGTTGCCTATAGTTTCTCATTAACACATCATTGTTTACATTCTCAAATGCCATCACTATGATGACTACGATGTTACCTAAAATAAAATAATATACTCTTGCTAACATAAAAACCAGAGTCTAAAATAAACCATTTGGAATATACTTAATGCCTCAGCAAGATCAAATTAAGAACTAGATTTTATCTAGTCTTTTCTATCAAATTCCAACATTTATATCAAAATGAAGAAAAAAAAAATACTTAAAGGAAAAATCAAGGAAAACCCAAAAAAGCTTTTCCAGTGAATCACTGGTGTTGGGGGACTTAAGGGCCACGGTTTCCTCTACTATTGAATAAACCCACAGGTCTATAAAATGTAATAATTTATAATGAGAACAGTGGCAGCCACAATAAAAACAACCAACTCCTACTAATTTATTTACCTGTTTGTGTGATTACTACAAACAGGGATTGTGCCAAGCACTTTATAAACTGAATTATTAAAACTCAAACAAATAATCTCATTTGATTCTCACAACCACCCTGTGTGGCAGATGTTGATGCCACCTCCATTTTGCAGATGAGAAAGCAGAGACTTGGAGGAGACAACAATTTGTCTATGGCCCCCCTATTTGTAAGAGGGGCATGGATTGGAATCCTCATGGCCAATCCAAGCGCCTGTGTTCTGTTTGCTATAACTTACTATACTAAGACACCGCACAAAGAAAGGAATGAGATCATGTAAATAAGTAAAATGTCTACCGTGAATCTAAATTGAGAAAAGGTTCTCTTAGTCAAACAATGAAGTCAGCTAGCTGGACAGCCTAAACACTAAATCTTCATTACTGGGATTTGTGATGTTTGGGGATTCTCAAAGATGGATAAAGTATCCCTTGTGGGTATGAATGGGCAGGCATATTCTATTCAAAGCTATAATGCTGCTTATTAATGTAAATCAAAGACAAATGTAATACAGAAATAGCACACAAAGGGAAAATACAAAATACTTCATTTCTTTTGCTCTGTTCTTATTCTTTTCCCCAAATGTTTAACTCTGTTCACACACATCTGTCAAATTTTTCCTCTTCTGTTATCAAGTTACTTCACCATGGAGTTCATTAGCTGCTGGTGAACCCACAAATGTAACAGAACTAATAAGGTTGAATCTTTAAAACCCAAACAAAAAAAATCCTTCCTCGTCTATAAAATATTAAACTCTTAATACACCCTAAAGAGCTACTTATTCAAATGCAAAACTATGCATGGACTGAAGACGAAAATGTCAGACTTTACTACAAATGTGTCAGACATTTGACATACCTTTGCTAACATGGCAAGGTGCTGATTCTGAACAATGGCAGTACGATAAGTTGCTAATCCTCCTTCTTCCAGACTCGGAAACAAATAGTACAAATGGACACTGCAAAAAAAAAAAAAAAAAGGCATATAAGTAAATATGCATCACAACATTCTGTCTGTAGCTCCAAGTCATAAAAACAGGCCTGGCACACAATATCTGCACAATAGATACCAGCTGAATTGAACTAAACTGAAGGGTTTGATTAAAAGTCTTTGAAAGTTAACTAGTAAGCACAGTGTATCTGAGTATGCTAACACCCAAACAACACCATTAACTACTATTTTCACATTTACTTCTGTTAAAAGACTGCTCTGGCAAATCTGGCGACAAAGACCTGAAGGGCTGGTCACATACTGCTGAGAGCAAACCGATGTGACACTCAGAAATCGGGCCTGGAAACAAATACCTTTGCTTGGGCTGCATTATGATTGGCCTCTGAAGAGAAGCCTGGGCGGGGCAGCAGCGGTAGCGTGTCCCTGACAGGTGTGACGGGGACAGGAGCAGAACTGAGAGTGGCACACGTGGTTGCTTGTGCCCTGACGAAAGCCAAACGGGTTGATGAGGAAAGTGCTCGGATATGGAGGAAGGCCCCACGGAAAGCCAGTTCGGACCATGACCGCAACTGCCTCTTCTAAATCGCAGACCAGTTTTTAAGATCCACTGTTGATCAGGGCAGCTAAGTTTATGTAGTCCTATTGTGTCCAGTGAGGACAGGCTTGCAGAGCAGCCCCTCTGCCTCATTATGTCCTTCTTGGGAAAAGAAGTGACCCAGAGAGAATACAAATAGCTCAAGACCGCTCCCAGAGAAGCATGCATTGTCTCCCTTTAAAAGAGAAACGATGTGGGTATGAAAACACAAAATGCACTTTCCTACCCTTATCACCAAATTAAGGACACGAAAACACTTCTGGGGAGAAAACACATATAAATGCATACATACACACACCAAAATCTCGTCATTAAAATTACTTGTAAGTTTTACTTCCCTTGAGATTGGAAAGAGTGAGAAATGGATCAAAGACAAATCCTAGAAAATGAAATGACATTTTAAAATATCATCCCTTTCTCTACAAATTGAATATAAGCTCTGAAGCATCTAGACCAAGACAAGCTGATCTCTTGTGGCTGTGGCAACTTGAACATAAACTTGACAGGACAAAGACAGTAGCCTTTCATCTTGCAATCTTGTGCATTACTGCGTCAGTGAGTACAAGTTATCAGGGCAAGAGCCACAGACATGTGGCTTTCAAGCTCTACAGAAGGGACAAAATATGGTGTTTCAATGCCTTATTTAGCTAATTTAGGTAATATAATAAGTATGTTACCTATAAAATGTAATTATTGGGGGACAGCAGAAAAACCTCCTTACCTGGTCAGAAATTCAACAACAGCATCACCTAGGAACTCCAACCTTTCATTGTGATTAATCCTATAGGAGAATTAAAAAGATCACTTAAAATGGGAAACATTTATATTCCTTCCATCTCTTCTCAAAGAAACATCCCACCCTATTCCTCACAATCAAAAGCACTGACTGCCATCTCATCTGGAGTATGAGACACCTACTGGGGAAGGGAGGGGGCATTCTATCCTACTATGTGGTTCGGGCCTTCCGACCTGGGGGCTTCCTTCCCCTGAGAATCAGATTTAAAGTGAGGAGCTATCACCCTAACAACTGAATCTTTCCACACTGCTATCAGGTAGGTCAGAGAAAGGAGAATGTACTCTAATGAGTTAGAACTGAACACTGAAAAATCCGTTTGGTACAACGTTCCAAGAACAGCTTCCCATTGACCAAACTCTAAACTTAACTTAGCTTCTAAAGTCCTTCAAAAGAGGCCTAATCTACTTTTTCAAGTCCCGGTAACCACTGCTATCCTCTCCCACCTATGTTTTGGGCTCTTGTCCCAAAACTGCGTGGTACTCTCTGAAAGGGGCATCCGCCCTGAAGCTTTCCACCATCTTCCCTGTGCACAGAGCCACACAAACCTACTCATCCCTCAAGGTCTAGTGAAATGTTGCTTCTCTACGAATCCCTGCCGGATTCCTCTCATCAAAATTAATACCTCCCCCTCAGCGCCTATCACACATTATTTACACCTTCACTGTATGAGGAAGGCACATCTCAGAGGCTAAGTTCCTCACATCCAAGTAGAAGGCTGAAGGACCAGGAAGGTGGTCCACAAACAACTTCCCTCAGCCTCTCAGAAAGTCTGGCACAGCCAGCTTCCCTCGGGGCTCCAGCAGATCACTATCCCTGGTTGGGCAGAGATGTGACACGATCTGGTTTAGGTTTTTAAAGGGCCACCCTGGCTGCTATGCAAAGAATGTGTGAGGGAAGACAAGCACTGAGGAGGGTACTGTGGCTCTCCGGGGAGACATGCCCAAGGCTCGGGCTGGGGAGGCGATGATGGAGGAGGGGAGAAAAGAAAGAATGAAGGTCAATGCCTGGATTTTGGCTTCCATAGTTGGGTGAAAGGCGGTGGTGCCATTTACTGTGAAGGGAAGACCAAAAGTGGAACAGGTTTGGGCAGAAGCAGGAGTTGCTGCTCTGCAGGAGAGGGAGCACAAGCAGGGGGAGCAATAAATTTTATTTATTTTTTTAAATTTTTTTAAAAAGACTGTATTTATTTATTTGACAGAGAAAGACACAGCAAGAGAGGGAACACAAGCAGGGGGAGTGGGAGAGGGAGAAGCAGGCTCCCCGTGGAGCAGGGAGCCCGACGAGGGGCTCAATCCCAGGACCCTGGGATCATGACCTGAGCCAAAGGCACACGCTTAACGACTGAGCCACCCGGGCGCCCCAGGAGTTGCATTTTAGGCATGTTCACTTTGAAATGTCCACAAAACAACCAAATGGAGAAATCCAGTATATATATTAACCTGCTGTTCGTGGGCAAGAACAAAGCTGATAAAAAATCTTTAGTAGGAGTGGTCAATGTTTAGACAGGATTTCGGGTGATGGAACTGGATGATACTACCTAGGGAGAGAATGCAGCTAGAGAAGAGGGGTCCCAGGACTGAGCCCAGGGGAGGGTCACACTTGAGGTCAAGCAGAAGGGAAACCAGCAAAGGAAAGAGGACTGGCGGGGGGTGGGGGGTGGGAGGTTGCAGAAAAGGAGGCAAGTGTCAAGAAAGAGACAGACTCAAGTAAGATGCAGAGAAAGCACTGATGCAGCAGTGCTGAGGACGCTATTGAGGCCACCGGGGGCCAGCTCTGTGAAGTGAAGAAGACACACCTGATTCTGGTCAAAGCAGGCTACAAAGTGACATGCGTCCAAAGCTGCATATGGGAAGAACCCGAGTGCCTGTTTCAGAGCCAACGGTGGACAGACAAACCACTGGGGGACGGGGGATTATAACAGGAGGAAACCAGAAAGGATGGTAACAAAAGTGACAGGGAAAGGAGAGCACACTGAGCCCCTGGGACCTAAGCAAAGAAGGCAAGGGACAGGCATGGGACTGAGCAGGATCTCACCTGACTCCAGAGACTTCTTTAAATATCTCTGACACTGACCCTCATCTTCTCCAAAAATTCAATAGCTGACTATCAAGTCCAAACCTGCCTGGTTTTCAAGGCCATTCTTTATCTAGTTCCACGGTAGTCACCCATTTCATCTACTTTTTTTTTCTTAAAAGATTTTATTTATTTATTTGACAGAGAGAGAGCACAAGCAGGGGGAGCAACAGAGGCAGAGGGAGAAGCAGACTCCCCGCTGAGCAGGAAGCCTGATGCAGAACTCGATCCCAGGACCCTGGGCTTATGACCTGAGCCGAAGGCAGACGCTTAACCAACTGAGCCACCCAGGCGCCCCTCATCTATTTTCAACAGCCATTTACAACTCTCGGCTGACCAACCTCTGCGCTGTACCAGACACACCACTGCTTGTCCCTCCTGTGTTACCTCTCCCAAATCCTGCTCATTCTTAACATCAGCTGGCGACCTGCCCTAACTGCTGGAGCCCCCAGCAATGCTGGCACACCCCCACACCTGCGTCCCCATCCCCACATGATTTAAATGCTTATCGCTCAATTTATTTCAAAATTATATACCATCTTTTATTGTTCTCTGATTCTTGTGTGCCAGTTTAGTTTCCATATTTAAAGTGACCTTATGGTTTCAGTATATGCGGAAAATAAAAAAAATATTTATTTCCAAATTAAATGACTCTTGGCTACCCAATTTCTACTTGGTAATTTGAGTTCAATTTTATATTATCTCACATATCTCCTAAGTTAATTTTTTCACCCTAACATTCCTCCACAGTTTAGAATTTTAAAGGAAAACAAATGTAGTAGGAGAAAACTAGAAAGATCTGAGCAACAAAGATGTGATTCTGAACACTCATTTCAATATATGGCCTTTACTTATGTGAAAAAGGCATTCTGGAAAGCAGTTAATGGCAAATAATGGAAAATGAAGAAAAGAAAGAGTGAACAATTTATGGCTGTGGTGAGGAATTCATAATCTAATAGCTTACAGAGAGAGAGAGAAAGAGAGAAAAAAAGAAAGAAAGAAATTAGGCCCTCACACATATTTTTCTTAGTCTTACCTAATTTATATTAGATTTTAAAAGACTTTTTGTTGCTATTCCATTAGCCAAGGTGACTAAACAGTATATATTTTTTAAAAATTTATTTATTTTTGAGAGAGAGCATAGTGGGGCGGGGGGGGTCGAAACCAAGAGAGAATCTCAAGCAGACTCCCCACTGAGTGCGGAGCCTGACACAGGCCTCGATCCCAGGACCCTGCACGACCTAAGCCGAAATCAAGAGCCGTTCAACCGATTGTGCCATCCAGACGCCCCTGACTAAACATTATATTTAAAAAATATATCGTTTAGAAGTTACTCGAAACTGCATTTTGCTTTTTGTCAAATACAGCAGAATTCCAACAAAAGTGTCTGTCATCATTCTTGGAGAACGCATCATGAAACAGAGGCCCTGGTTAACATGGTACCATGTTAATCCCTCAGACTTCTTGCCAAATTAATTTCGTGAAACCTAATAAGCTGTTGTCCTAAGAGACAGTGGGAACAAAGAAAAGAAATGGTGAGGTTTTTGTTTTTGTTTAAAGATTTTATTTATTTGAGAGAAAGAGAGTACAAGTGGGGGAGGGGCGGAGGGAAAGGAAGAAGCAGGCTCCCCATCCAGCGGGGACACAGGGCTCCATCCCAGGACCCTGGGATCATGACCTGAGCTGAAGGCAGACACTTAACTGACTGAGCCACCCAAGCGCCCCGAAATGGTGAGTTTTTAAAAAGAAAGAAATTAGAATTACCCTATTCTTTTCCAAAAGTCAGGAAAATGAAAATAGTATTTTCTGTGGTAGAGACTTTATTTTCTTCCCAACAGTTCAAAGTACTGTACAGGAAAATCTACTTAACATGGAAAGCCAGAAACTGCACCTGGGGTGGGGACAAACCATATTTGGATTGTCTTATGCTTTATTAAAAAATAAGACATCTCATCAAAGAATAATAGCTGCTTTGAGTCATATACTATTTGAATGAACTCATACTGGCATAAGTTTTACTTTAATTTGTTTTATAAACTTTCAGGGAGACAAGAACTATGTCTAGGATTTTAATAACCACAAAGTTAGACTATTATTCAGTATGTTAAAATACAAGGTCACAGTTCCAAACAGGTTTATTCAATAGTGAGTCTGCCATCCGCTAAATAATTTGCCCATATCCAGCGTATGTTTTCCTGTATCTGCACTATGACTAAACCCTGGCAATAAGCCACAAACAAAAATGGGGATGAAATACCACTTCAGTTTATTATTATACTGGACAATTCCTAATCCAGTGGTTTATCTGGAAAATATGGACAGAGTGAGCTGCTAGTCACTGTTGAGTGCAGCAGCAAAGCTTTTGTTCCTTCTTCTATTGTTTCTACATTCTTTAATCACCCTCTTTATAAATACTAGCAAGCTCCAAGAGGAAATGTTTACTGAGCAATAAACACTCCATTTGTTTTTGAGAACTGAATCAACAAAGGCATTATGAAATCTAGATTAACTATAACATTTATATAGCACATTTGGTCTGAGGAATTCAAAGCACTTTATAAAACATAACAGTCTCCCTGTAACAGTAATTACTGTAGGGTTTCCTTTACTCCATGGAAAACCATCTTGGGATGGGTCAAGTCCACGGGTAACTACCACGGAGAGGGTATGGACATTTTCTCACCTTTCCATTCCAGGCTTCAACCAGTGACAGGTGGAATAAAGCTAGAAGGGGTGCTGGAGATCAGCTGAACCTTCCACCCAGTTCAGGAATTCCTTCTATTCATTACATCTACCTGGACACTTAGCGGGAGGGGAGGTCACAGAGCTACTAGATCTGAGACCCACTGGACCTAGGGATCCAGGTTAAGCATCTCTGGAATTTAACGTGAATTTTTAAGCCAGCAAATCTA